GTGGCTTGGGACCAAGTGCTCCAAGGTCTGCCAGGTGACTGCCTGAGGGGTGACTGCGATTGGGGGGGCGTCCCTGTATGGCGACGGGGGCCAGGAGACAGACCGGAGGCTCCTGTCTTAGTAAGTCCTCTGCTGGAAGATTGCAGTCATACCCGGAATCACATTTCCTGCTAGGACTGCACAGCCTCTGTTTGGGTTCGGTTTGCTTTGTTTCTGAGGCAATAGGAAGTGAGTTTGGGCCACACTTAATGCCACCTCAGTGAGAACAGCCGGGCCTGGCTGTCCCTGTTTCCAGCTAAGTTTGCAAGCTCACAAGCTACTAAAGCCAAATCCTATTCCCTGCTCTGAAGGAATATTCCAGAGACTTACATGGACCACATGAGCTCCCCCCACAAACGGTCTGCCCTTTGCAGAGGAAGCGTAGCCCCAGGATCTCGGAACTGAGGCATTTTGAGGCGACCATACCGGCAGAGGTGGCCCCATAGGCAGCGAGCCTCTAGTGTGGCTCCTGCCGAGCGGACCAGCCTCGTACCCTTACAGCAGTGGCTCAGACTGAGAAAGGTCTAGAAACCTGCCAATTCCTGTTTCCCCAGAGGACAGGGAGTGGGCTGCTGAGCGGCTCTGGGGCGCAGGCTGTGCGGGGATACCCCTGTCCTTCCTGTCAGAGACCGAGTGTCATCTCTGGGGCCGGGCTGCCTTCCAGTTGTGTGACCTTGGGCAAGTTACTGAACCAGAGAGAGGTTACTGAACCTCTCTGTGCCTCATCTGAATGACGGGGACGTGATCGTGCCCGCCTCAAAGGGTTGTGGGAGGCCTTCTGTGACCTCGGACGTAGGGGGGTGCTTGGTACAGAATCACCCAGCAGATACCGAGTCTTGTCATTTCTCTTGTTACCCTCCCTGGCACTGTCGTGTCACCCTAGGTCCTCCCATGGGAAAGTGCCGTCTCTTAAAAAAAAACAAAAAATAAGGCTTTGGCCCTGGCCCTTTCCTCTGAGAGTGCCCCCCTCAGGGGGGCACTGGTCACTCAACATTGGCTCATGAGGTTTCAGTGTGGCTCAGTTCTTCTGGTTCACAGGGCTTCTCGAAGGTGGGGATGTCCTTCTGGGCCCTCACCATCCCTGTGCTGGGACTGGCCTATGTGCAGTGCCCCAGGAATGCATTGGCTCAGGAGAAGGAAGGGCAGGACGAGAGAGGAGTGTGTGTGGTGCCACGAGTAAGGCCAAGTCAGGAGCTGAGCTGTGGGCGGTCCAGGCCTATGGCCGGGGTCATAGGCACACAGACCCCCTACTCAGCCTGCTTCCTGCTCATGTCTCTGCAGGGCGAGGATCCTCTTCCTGCTCCAGCTGCTGGCAGACAACGTTCCGGGTGTTGGCCTGGTGGCAAGTAAGTGCGGGATAGGGGTGTGATGATTACAGAGTGTCACGGGTCTGTCCAGTGGCCCGTGTCCTTGACTGTTGTCTCTTTATCTCCTTGTCATTTGATTCTTGACAGAGTCAGGAGAGGGAGCCCAGAGGTCAGGTCGGGCGGGTGACAGCTCCTGGGCAGGGCCAGGCTGGCCCATAGAGCCTCAGGGGTGGCTGAAAGGGGGTGTCCTGTCCTGGGAGAAGTGTAGGGCCACCCTGGGCTGTCAGCCTTAGCTGCCCCGGGACCCCGGAGCCATATACCGCTGGCTTCTCTGGGGCTTTCTGGTGCCCACCAGGCTGTTTGGAGCTCTCCCCTCAGCATAGAGGCCATCAGTGTCCACAGTGGGACCAGCCCTGTGGCTTCTTGAAGCCTGAGGGTCTTTTTGCAAAGGGGACAAAGGTCACTGCTGCTGCTGCTTTCCTAGGGGCAGGCAGGTGGGAGAGTCTGTGGGGCTGGTCGCCCAGCAGATGTGAGCAGCTGGGTTGGGGCCGCTGCAGCCGAGAAGGGCCTCAGGTAGAGCGGAGTCAGGTTGGGGCCAGGTTGGAGTCCGGCCCTCAGCTCCGAACTCCCTCTCATTGCAGGGCCACTCATGGATTACCTGCCTGCCTGGCAGAAAATTTATTTCTACAGTTGGGGCTGACCTATCCCAGGAGTGGGTGCAGGGAGGGGCAGGGGTGCCCCAGCCGCTCGGTCCCCTGGGGCCCCTTCACCCTAATAAACCGACTCTGGCAGCGAGCCCGCCTGTGGCGTCTCCATCCCGCTGCCCGGCGCTCCTGGCAACCCCACCCAGCAGCCGGGCCACCCGAGCACCTCCCGAACATCTCTGGCCACGGAGCCACTGCCTCCTGCCCCTCATCTCTAGGCTGAGAAGCCTCGGTTGGGATGGAGGCCTGGGCTTCTCCGGCCACAGAGAGCTGGGATCTGGTCTCTGCCAGCGTGGGAAGCTGCTAGCCGTGGCAGCTGCGGAGGTTAATCCCATACCGCTGTCCCCGATCCTGGTGACAACAGGCAAGGCCCAGCTGGGCAGGCAGTGACAGCTGCCTGTGTGGCCTCTGGCCAGAGCCTCTGTCTGCCCCCTCCCTGCAGGGCCCTGTCGCTCCAGCCTGCCAGCCTTTCTGTGCCGGAGCCTGGTGAATGGTGGGCCCAGCTTGGTTTGGTGACCCCTGGAGCCCCCAGCCCCCATTTGATGGCGGGAGGTTTTCTCCCATAGGCACCAGCCAGCCATGGGGCCAATCCTGGGGGCGGGTGTCAGAGGGACTCAGAGCCGGAGCGGGTGCAGGTTCGGGAGTGTGAGTTGGGGTCTCCATGCACACTCCCTGCCAGCTCCCTGGAGACGACGTCTCCCAGAGCTACACACACGCACACACGCACACGCACGCTGCTGGGGAAGGTGCAAGTGCCCAGACCGAGCGACTGCACCCTGACTGATCTGCCTGGGCCGTCCCCTTCTCAGCCGCCACCCCTGTCCCCTGTGAACAGACTGTCCTCTCCTGCTGCAGTGTCTAGCCCAATGAGCCGCCCTCTGAGTTCTAAGGGCTCCATCCGCACCAGCCTCTACCCTGCCTCACTTCCTCTGTCACTCTGGGGGGAGCTGTGGGGAGGGGGGCAGCCTTTCCCTGCCCCCCCCGAAGGCACATCCAGGTCCAGGACTGGAGGGTGAAGGGACAAGCCCTTCAGGGAGGTCACAGCTTGGAGCCCTGACTGTTGCCGGGCATGTGCCCTATAAGTGGGGTCTGGCCCGGGTCTGTCTGTGCAGCGGGAGGGGAGCAGGCCTCCCGCCGGGCACTCACCCCCCAGCGGAGACACGGAAATGAGGCACATGGGGCGTGAGAACAGGTAGGAGCGGGTCCCTGAGGAAGGCCGGGTCCGAGGTGGGAGAGCAGAGGACAGATGCCTGTGGAGGGCACACCCGTCAGGGAGGCCTCTGTTCTAGTGGGGGTGACCCCGCGTCAGTGCCCTGCAGGCCTCGGCTGGGAGACGACGTTGTGCACAGCAAGTCACAAGAAACTCAGACCTGCCTCCGGAAGGCAGCAGGGAGGGGAGCATTTTAAACCTCATCCCCGGGACGCCTGGGTGGCTCAGTCGGTAGTGCGCCTGCTGCCTTCGGCTCAGGTCCTGATGCTGGAGTTCCGGAATCAAATCCGCATCGGGATCAAGTTGGCTCCCTGCTCAGCAGGGGTCTGCCTCTCCCTCTGCCCCTCACTTGCTTGTTTCTCTCTCAAATAAAAACTTGCTAAAAAAATACACCTCACCCCAGTGGCCTGGTGCAGGGGCTCCCATCGGGCAGTGCTGGAGGCTGAGCACAGGGACACAGTGGCAGGATCCTCCAGCAGTGGATGCGCCTGGATTCAGGCAGGCTCGGGAGTGGGTGTGGCTAGAGAGGGAGATGGTGGCATCTTAGAGGCCAGGAGGGTGAGGGATGAGGGACTGAGTTGGGCGGAGTGTCCAGAACTGTGGGTTCCCGGCCACGGTGAGAACAGAGGATGGGGACCCGGGCTTGTTGAGGGACAGCTGTGTCCAGGACACAGAAAGGGAGATGACCACTGAGCAGTTAGCGTGTGGGCTCAGAGCACACAGGGACAGTCTGAAGGAGATACCAGCACTTGTCACCCTGGGGGTTACTGAGGACCCGGAGTCAGGGATGTCCCTCTCCCGGCCCTGGGCACGTGGGCAGTTACGGGTGTGGGGCTGGACCCCCGGAAGGTCTGCTAAGAAGCGATGGGGTTCCGAAAGTGCAGAGCCCTGCTCGGCCCTCGGGTTCTGAGTGCACAGGTCTGGAGTGGGCCGGGGTTGGGAGGGGAGCTTGGGCTGCGCGCTCCGGGCTGGGCAGGAAGCCAGGGAGGGGCCCGCAGCCCCGGCCCGGGCGGGAGGAGCCCTGCTCCGTGCTGGCGCGTTGCATTTATTCATTCAGCAAATCGTTTTTGAGCATCCGCCGGCTGTGGCTGGGGATCCTGCCTCGAACGAAACCAGTCTCTACCCTCGGGAAGCTTCCACTCTAGGGAGCAGGCTTTGCCATCGACTCAAAATCCCTCTGTCCAGCCCCGGGTGGTGGCAGGGCCTGGGGAGCCCCGGGGCCAGGCTGTTGGAAGCTTCGGGGAACTGGGGGGTGTCTCTTAGAGCAGCCCGACCCCCGGGCCAGGGCTGAATGGACTGCTTGATGCCCTCTGGCTGGAGGACGGTCCTGGCATCACTGGGGGGTTGGGGGGGAAACAGGGCGGTGGCAGCAGGAGGCAGGGGGCGGCAGAGTGGGAACGGCTGGGGCTCTCCACGTGACCTCTCCTGCGTGCCACTCCTTGGGCACCTAGGTATGCACCTTACCTCAGAGACGAGAAGGCGGCCCACGACTGTGACATGGCCGCCTCGCAGGAGACAAGGTGGGGCTATGAATGGAGATCAGATGCCAAAATTCTATGCCCTTAACCCTCGGGCAGTGACACTAGAGCAAGAAGCTGTTTGGCACCTGTTGGCCAACAGCATCGACAACACGAAACGAAGACCAAAGCTCCGCTGGACGTTTCTGGCCTGGCCGAGCCCTGGAACCCCGCCCTTTGTGAGGTGGCCCGGGAGTGGGCACTCCCGTCCTTCTGCCGGGGGAGGGGCAGGCAGAAGCCAGAGGACAGGGACCTGAATAGAAGATGGTTCTCGCCATGCTGGGGGCTCTGCGTCCCAGGGCTGGGCTGAGCCTCTTGCTCCTCTACCTCCTCCTGGCAGCTGCACTCCTCCGCCCCCAGCCACTGAGGTAACAACCGGGGGCACAGGCTCAGGGGCCCACAGAAGGTGAGGCTCTGTCGTGCTGCCTCCCGCTCCTCTTCCCGGAGGACTGGCTGGTGCCATAGTCCTGGGTGTCGCGGCTCACGCAGTCCCCGACCCTGAGCCCGCACAGGGAGGTAGGTGGTTAATGGCCTGTAAGTGCCTGGGCTGAGCACCCCAACACCTCCCACAGGCCTCAGCGATCTGTTCCTGAAGAATTTTCAGCCCCTCTGGAACTCTCGCAGCCACTTTCCGGCCTAGTGGATGGTAGTATCTCAGCCCTGCCCTGCCCTGCCCAGCCACCGGGGACACATGCCCTAGGGGAGGGCACCCACACCCAGCCTCCGGGGCTTTTCATCCCAAATGGCACCATTCTGGGGTGATCTTGGTGGATTCCCCCTGCCACCCACACCCTCTTCTCTCCTCAGACTATGGGGTTCGACCCAAGCACCCCTGGCCACGAGGGCCTCGACCCCTCCTCTCCCAGGCCCAGCAGCGCAAGCGGGATGGGCCAGACATGGCCGAGTATTACTACGACGCACACCTGTGACTGGCGCCACTTATAAAGCTGTTCTGTGCAGCCACGGCTTAGGCTTTCCTGACATGGACGCCAGCTGGGGCCGGGGGGTGGGGGAGGGAGACACAGCCACTGCAGTCCAGACAGGAAATGGCACTTTAATAGTTGTGGCCAGGATGACAGGACCAAGCTGGGGCTACAGCCGAAGCAGCCGAGAGGCCCTGGCTGGCCTGGGCCAATCTGGGAGCCGCCTTTTCCTGCCGGGATGGGGCCCTGCCGCAGCGCTCTCCTTCCCTGGTGAGGCCCCACACCTGCCAGGGGCCAGCATGACGGCCAGCCAGAGGCCACCCAGGTGACAGAGCCGGGAACAGGGACTGCACCCCCCCACCTGCTGTGAAGTCCTTGGGAGGTGGCTGGGCTCAGCGTGAGCTCAGGGCCTTCAGTTGGGGTTGGGAGTTGGGGATGGGGCAGAGGGGACGCTGGCAAGTGGCATGGGCTTTGTCAAAGCAGGAGCCACAGCCGGAGAGCCAGAGGCCCTGGCAGAGAAAGTGATGCCCAGGATGGGCCAGAGCCCTCCGCTCTGGGCATCCTTCCTGGCCAGAGGCCTGGCGCTATCCCCCCCCAGGCCTGCCCCTTCCCAATCCCTGGGCAGCCTGCTTTGTCCTTCATAGATGAATCTAGTCCCATATATTACAATAAACTGCATTTGCCTCTCCCCGAAACCCCGCCCTCCCCCACCCTTGGCCAGAGGCCCCGACTTCCCCGTCCTCCGGAGGTGACGGGCGCCCCTCTGCTAGCGTGCTGCGTCCTGTTGGCAGCCAACTGTTCCGGCGCGGGCCCCGGGTGTGGAGAGAGCGGGACCACGCGGCTACTCCAGATAGATGTCTTCTGTGGGGCAGGTGTACTCCACGAACTGCTTGTAGAACTGCTGGAACGCTCTCCTAGAAGGCAGGCAGACACACAGGTGACAGGGACAACGCCATCTCCACCCCTGGTTTTTCACCTTGAGCCTGGGGCTCCCTGGGCAGGGCTCGGGCTCCCCCAGATGGAGGGGCTCGGCTCCGCTCTCAGCATGTTGCCCTTCTTGGGTCAGACCGCCGCCGAAGGAAGGGCCTGACCCGGCGGGGAGCTAGTCCTCAGGACCGCCCCGCCTGGGCTCGAAGCCACGAGGCCTGCAGAGCTGGGAGGGGGCCCAGGGCTCACTCTGGGGCCGGGCGCTCGGCAGGAGACACACAGACACACACACACACAGGGCCGTACCCCACGGACTCTGCCAGGGCTTTGGTGGATTCCTCGGACACAAAGACATGGCAGGCAAACCGGTGGTCAGCAGGGTGCTTGGTGATGAACCCAAAGTACCTGTGGGAGGACAGCCATCTGTCTGAGAGCGGGACAGGGGCGCAGACCCCTCCGACACACTCACAGACCCGCACCTGACCGTAACGGCCCCAGGCTGCCCCCTCACACCTCATGGTGCCCCTCCCACTTACTTGTTGTTCTTTGGATGGTATCCACAGAAAGAGATGTTTTTTAACTGGAAAAAGTGGCTACATTTATTCCCCTACAGGAGGGAGATGAGAGGCAGGGTGTCATCAGCCCGCAAGGGCCACAGGTGGGAGATCTGGTGGGGGCCCGGGGGGCAGAGGCGGTCACCTTGGCCTCCTGGGAATCATCAGCCTTGACGCCGATCTTCACGCCCCGCACGCTGATCTCCAGGACGCAGCTGGACGGCGGGTTAAAGTGCACGGTGAGCCGGCGGGTGGTGGCGATCTGTGGGTGAGGGACGGGAATCAGGCACTGGGTGTCTGTCTCCCCAGGAGAGGAGGGGGCCCAGGCGGGGGGCGGGACCGGGTACCTTTTGCATAGCAGCACAGAGCACGTCATTGCCCTTGTGGTAGGGAACCTGGACGGAGCCCAGGAACTTCACCCGGAACTGGTCCACCCAGTCGCTGTTTTTGGTCAGGGCTGGAAAACAAGCATGAAGTGAGGGGTGGCGGGACAGCAGAGGGGCCCGCCGGCCATAGATGTCCCAACTCGCCCGGGCCTCCCTTCTCTCTGAGGGAGTTGGACCTAATGTTGTCCCCTCTGCGAGGGCCTTCCCTGTGGCTTTAGAGTCACCTAGCAGCATGTCTGGGCAAAGGTGGGGCCCAGTGGCGCCGAAGAGGGGAAAGGACGCTACCTGCCATGTGCTCGGGCTCCTTGGTGACCTCGATGGCGTAGTAGGCGGGGAAGACGCCCCGGGCGCCCGTGCGCATGTTGTAGGCCTCATACCAGTAGTCCTCGGCCTGCAGCTCCACCAGCAAGGGGTCGTCCACCTCCAGCTCCAGCTCGTCCTCGTGTCGAGGCACAAACCTGTCCCCCGCAAGGGCATGGGAGGAATTCACCACCGGGGCCTCCCCAGCAGGCTATCCGTCGGCTCCCCCTCTCTCTGGGGGGCAGGCTGCCGCCAAAGCGGCACCGGTTCAATAAACCTCCACAGAGTATCCTGCGCCTGGGCCTGCTAGTTCCTGGGGAAGTTCGAGATCACACAGACGGGCCCCTGCCATCCAGAACTCGGGGGCTCAGGGAGGAGGTGCCCAGAGCTACTCGGAAAACACAGAGGTAACAGGAAGTGAGCGCTTCCCTGTGGAGGGCGGGGAGGGCTATGCCTTGTACAGGCTTGGGCAGCATCTCTGCCGGACCCCCTCCCGGGCTCTGGACCCCCACCCCTGCCCCTCCAGATGGGCTGCTCGGTCCTGGGCCCTGGTGGCGCATCACAGGTAGCATGGCCTGAATCCATCCACCCGGAGTCCCGCCCGGGTGCGCCCTGTGCCCCCGGGGCTGGCGGAGAGACAAGTGCCAGCGGGAAGGCTGGGTCTAGGCCCCAGAGTGAGGGCAGAGGCAGGGAGGGGCGGCCCCACGGTTGCCTGGCCGGCCCAACACTGCGGCTCTTACCTGAAAATGGCCCGGTGCGTCTGCTCCTGCTCCTCCCCGTTGATGACACAGGAGAAGAGCCCAAAGGACTCAGCACCTGGAAGCGAGGGGCCGAGCTGGAGAAGGGACCCACTCCGCTGGAGGGTGGGGGTGGGGCGGCAAGCGCTCAGTCCTGACACATCGAAGCCGACGGGCAGGGCCACCTTCCAGGAGCAGCCTCGATTCGGTGCCCTCCCCTCCCAGGTGCCCCAGCGGGCCGGCCGCAGACTCACTGGAGGAGCGCGAGCGGCCGCTCATGAAGACGTTCAGGAACTTCTTGGAGAAGTGGACGTCGGGCTCGTCCGGCGTGGAGTCCTCGGAGAGGCAGGCGGGGGGCCGCGGCCGGGGGGCCTCCTCGTACTCCTCCCCGATGGCCGACTCGTAGGGTGAGGAGGCGGAGGCGCAGTTGTCGTAGACGGTGGCCGAGTCGCTCTCGTCGCTGTAGTCCCCGAAGCACGGCCGCAGGCTCACCAGCTCCAGCTGCGCGTGCTCGTCCACCACCAGCGTGTACTTGACTGAGTCGTAGGACAGCGCACTGGTGTCCGAGCTCAGCGAGGCCCGTGGGGGCGGCGGCGGCTCCCCCAGGCTGCCCCGCCAGCCTCCACCCTGCAGCTCGGGCCGCTCCGGGGACGACAAGCAGTCGAAGCCCTCGTCCTCCTCGCTGATGGAGGGGTGCGGCCGGCCTGCCGCAGAGGGGTAGGCGGCAGGGTCTGGATCGGAGCTGACAGACATCCGGCTCTCTGCTGGGGGCAGGAAGGCAGAACTGGGCTCCGGGGGGTCCGGCGGCCTCTGCACCGGCGTCAGGTAGATCTCCTCAGTGGCCTCTAGCCGCACATCGGCCTGGTAGTGGATGCGGTCTCGATGCGAGTGGCCCCGGCTGCTCGGTGGGGCAGCGGTGGGGCCGCCGGGAGGGGCCATCTGTGTGGCGGTGCTGCGGCGGCAAGGGCTGTCAGTGGAGGTGCCTCGGTCCTTGGTGGCCGTGGGGCTGCTTGGGGGTGGCAGCTCATCGCTCAGGCAGATGTGCTCATGTGGCGGCGTCTGCTCCCCTGGAGGGCAGGCAGGTCGCTGCTCAAAGAGGGTGGCCTCACCCCTGCCTCCCAGGCCACCTGCCCTCTCCACTCAGCATGTGGGACACAGAAACCCAGGCGAGGGCTCCTGGGCCCTGGGGGACTCTGGGACCAGCGCTCTCTCCCTCCCGCCCCAGCTGACTTCAGATGGGCCTGCTCAAGGCTGTGGGACGGGCAGTTTACCTCAGCTCGGCAAGATGGAGGCTGCCAGGGTTGCTCTCTGCTGAGGAAACTGAGGCAGGTGTAGGGCCAGATAAAGGAAACGGTCCTGACTTACCAGTCTTCAGGGGTGAGGATGACCGAGACACCCGATCCTGCCAACTGTGCTTCTTGCCCAGAGAATTATTATTCAATGTGTCCTGTGCAGAAAACAAAAGGCCCTTGTGATAGAAGGCGTCAACAGTACCGGGCACAGGGAGGCCCTGGCCCTGCCCCCATCAGGCCATCCCTAGGCCATTTGCTGCATGCCCCACCCCCCGACCAGGGCCTCACCCCCAACCCTCCTCGAACAGGCGGGAGGGGTGGCAAGTCACAGCCCTCCCAGCCCGACCTATTAGCTCTAGATGGCTCTCCATCCTGACTCAGGGAAGCTGGCCAACCCTTGGGGAGGTGCTCTTATCAGCCTCCTCAAAGGCGGTGATGACCAATATGTGTGGTGGTAAATGGGGGAGAAGTGGGGGAGAAGCAGGAGCCATCTGGGGAGACAGCCGGACCCCCAGTCCCAGACACAGAGGCTTTACACAGTAGGTGCTCACTGCCAGCCAGGTTCTGGAGCGCTATGGCCTAGGGGACAGGGACATTCTAGAAGTTGAAAAATGGATGAGGAAGGGTCTCTCAGCAGCTGGCCTGGGGGACCAGGATGAGTCACCCAAATGATGAATCAATAGCATGGCTCTCCCGCCCCTGCAGAAGCAATGACTGAGGAGTGACAGATGTAGTTGTCAGTAGCCTTTCTCCTGGATCTCCTGGGCTGGTGCCCTAGGACCCCTCTCCACCATGCCTACAAACAAGGCTCCCCACAAACTGTTCAGGTCCCCTCCCGGGGGAACACTCTCATA